GGCACCATGAAATAAAAATATTTTGTGTGTTACAGTGACGTATTTTGAGAAACTTGTTCTAATATTTTCCAAAAATAGCTATTTTTAGAAAATTCCATAGAGGGCAATGTTAGACAGAAATTGCATTTTTTGAAACTTTTTAAAACCCAGATTTTTGAAAAAAAATCAGGAAAACAAAACATACCTCACCATCAACAATATATTATGTTTTCAGCCTATGTCACATGACTATAATCTGAGATATGGAAACCTATGGTAAAAGCACTATAATACTGCCAAAATGGCCGTTATCCACTAAAATACAATCATGATTTTCTCGAAAATTAATCTGGTGAACCTCAAATATTTTTAAGTCAATATTCTTATACTGCCCGGAAGTAAAATTTATTAAAAAAAAATAATAAATTTGAAATCATGAGTAGGCTTCTACCTTAAAGAAATGTATAAAGAAATGAGAAAAAAACAGTACCTCTGTCACTATGGTCTCCACAAAATACTCGGACTCGTAGTACCACCCATCAGTACATTCAGTGGTAGAATTGTCCACACTGCTATTCACATACATTGTGCACGAGTCGTACACGAGTTCACCGTCATCGTCTTCTACCAACGGAATGGTCTCGTTCAGTGAAGAGCCTTCAGGGACGTTGCAATAGAATGTATCGGGGAAACCACCGAGAAAGACCATAGCCATCAGCGGCCATACACAAAACCACGTCCCAGGTATTGTTATTAAAAAATATTCGATGGTCTGATAACGACCCCATTCGCCGATTGCTGTAAGTGCCTCGTCCAGTTCCATTTCAGGAAAACAGTCCCCACGAGGTCAATCGAGATATTGATGGCGGTGCTGTCTGTAACTGGAGCACCACTATGAATATTCAGTGTGGTGAGGCAAACCAACAAATACGACCTGTATTATCACCGTGTATCTCACCTCGTCAGGTCAAAGAAGTCGAATGCTTCGAAAAATCCAATTCTTGCTTGCACTAGCAAATGAATGAATGCATGTTTGTTATATATGGTACGCTATTACGGAGTTGCAAAACATCATCTCCAACCCCCTCACACACACACTGCACGTAATTATAGCGTCTTCTCCGCTCTATCTCGTGATATATGTGTACCCAGTCACGTGCACAAACACAGTACTGATTTGAAACGGTACCATTCGTACAGTCACAAATAGACAGACAGCTGCTCCAGCCATCTCCATACAAACAAAACTTTATAATAAACGGAATATTGGTAAACAAATACCTTAACTGTTGTCTGTGACAAGATGATCAACATATGACAATAACTACACCTTATTGTACATATTTGTATAATATTCGATTTATCTGGTATCACCGTTGATCGAATATCCACTCGTATGTAAAGAAAACTTACCTGCGTCACAGCAAAGTAAAGTTGTACTTTGCACCCAATATATATGTCACATGTAGGTCGATATCGCAAAATGGGAGCCAAATGTCAACTTCTTTTAACATTATTCATGTATGTATTAAATTAAATGACTATGATGAGTGTTCTATTAGAAGTCTTATACCAAGGACGAATAGGACGCCAACTTATCGTCATCCATTCCATGGCTGTCAATGGTCAGTTTTTGCCATGTAACAATCATGCTACCGTCAATCTCGCTTGTGCCGTCACAGGAAGTGCTGTCTCAGCACATACCTCAATCTCCCAAATAGAGCTTTATTTCTACGATTATATCACTGCCACCACGCGATATTATGCTTGTCGTTTATTGGTTCATTTGTCCGTCAATACCACAAAGTGCTTTCGTCTGTTCATATTTCTTCACCTGGCAAAAGACAGAACGGTCAGTTTGATGAACCGAGTAAAACCTTAGTTACCGTTATTTATTACAAGTAACAATAAGTCAACAAGAGAGCCCTCTAATAAAACACGCCAAGAATACGGGTAGTAAAATTCCTGTGGCGTTTCACCACAAAATGGCGGTGTGTGGTGGCAAGGATCTCTGGGAGAAAGCACAGACCTGTGTCATATGATTTGGGATAAAAAAAAAGCGCTCCGCCGCTTAATGTCACAGATAATTCAATCTTTAGAATTTGTGTTTGAAGTTCGGAATTTCACGCGTAATTTCGGCTTTCAACTAGCTTGGAATAGAACGTTCTTGAACGCAATAAAATCACGCGTAGAATGTCTTCAGACCGGGAACTAGTAGCGTAAACTGATTGCAGGTTTACACTATTCTGTGGCCAGTTTATTTCTACAATATTTTAAAGTTTCTTTTATTATTATTTAGTAAAGAAATCAATGAAATGATTTATTATATTCGTAAAATACGAAATACTGACGATTGACAGAAAAACGTTCGAAGTTTCGAACAAATTCCCGGCACTCCTTGCGCGATATGCGTCAGATCGGTGTAAGATAGGACGCCGACCTGCAGCGTCAATCAGGCCAATCTCTTTCATTGATTTAGTCAGTTAAGTCATTTGACGATTTTATATACTTATTGCAGGTGGCAATGTTCAATGGAGGTCGTCATACAAGGGTCTAGAAAACGTTACTGGCGTCCAATCACAGTGTTAGAATGCGCGATTTCACCATTATGTTCGTAGATGTAGGGTTTTTTCTTTCTTTACAGACCCCGTTACGTTTAAGGTAGAAGCCTACTCGTGATTTGAAATACCCAAAATTTATTCATTTTCGGATATAAGGATAATGACCTAAACAAGTTGGAGGTCACCAGCTAAATTTCCGAGAAAATGATGGTTGTATTTTAGTGACTTGTGGCCATTTTGGTAGTATTATATATAGTGCTTTTACCATAGGTCCCTATGGCAGAGATAATATGTCATATCTTAAATTGTAGGCTGGTGACATAGGCTGAAACAAATATATATTGTGAATGATAGGGTACTTTAGGTTGTTCTCAATAATTTCAAAATAATAAGTGGAATTGGTCTTACAAATAGCAATTTTTGAAAAAATATTAAATCAAATTTCTCAAAATACGTCACTGTAACACACGAAAGAATGCTATTTCATGGTTTCATGAGACACTAGCTGCAAGATTTTACATAATAAAACAATGAACATTGTCATGCGATTTATGACCAACTTTCTCAAACTTTCTTATGAGTAGGCTTCTACCTTAATAATTAAACTCCGTTTTTAAATATGTGTTTTCATGTGGACCAAAGTTCATATTGTTTTAGTTAGATTGCTGTTCGATTTTTCATTTTTATGACAGCTAGTATAAAACACTCACTCTGACTATATATTGCACCTAGAACAAAGGTGATCATAATGTCTACAATAAGCGTACGTGCAACACCTCTGATGAGAGATCTAGTAAAACTTTATACTTCCCTGTTACAAAACCGGGAACTCATTTTTTTGGCAATTTACAACTATGAAAATCATAGCACTGATTGTATGGTAAATCTATACCGATTACTTCAGTGGCGCTGACATATTGACAAACAGAAATATGCGTTTCTGTAACATCCTTTCAACACATTGTCGTTTGTATAGTGATCATCAAATATAGAGCAATTTTAAAAATAATATTTTACCCCAAATATTACGTATAAATAGTAAATAAAATACTTTAAAAATACTCAGTAATGCATTGTATGTCTGGTATTCAGTAATACACCGTCTAAATGTGTAATACAACTTTCGGGCACTTTTAAACTGTCTACCCGCGTCGAGAAAAGGAATATGCTGACCAATACGCCTCAGTGTTGTAGTTGACCATGACAGTGGATGTTATTGATGTTATAGAGGTGGATATTGATCTTGTTGTCTCTGTGCCTACGGTGGTGGTGGCCGCGGCGCCGGATGTTTTGATGTTGCTGTTCTGTAGTGGGAGTGGTTGATGTTGATCTTCTTGCTGCTTATGGCACATTGGTCGTCGCGGAGTTTTTTTGTTCATGTTGTTCTTTTTCTGGCGTCCGCTTTTCCGCATACCGCATTTTGCACTTTCTGACTGCCTGTGTACTGGATTCAAATTAAAAATGAAGAAAAAAAAACAATGATATAAAATACATTTATAATGCATTTGTTCTTTTAAAAATGTAAATGAGAGTAAAAGGGTCAGTATATAAGGTTTTACTGTATATACTTGTTCAACACATGTACGTACAAGGGCTCTTTGGCGCAAAGTGTCACGCGCTCCTTTATTTTATCTCTCTGCATCTCTATCAAAATTGTTATAATGTGCGCGATAATACGCAATTGATAGTCGTCGTGTATTATATTCACTACTCACGGAGTGTTCTCTCGACATGGAGATCAGATGAACTTTGCCGTGAAACATATTCGCGTTAATCTCAACCTGTTTAGAGCGGGGGAATCATCACCTGCGCATGCGTCAGATGGCCGTAGTGTGTCATTGTTTACAAACAAAGAGCCTTTGCGCCTTTAGCGTGTGTTGTTAACGTCGCTTGGGACTCAATTCCTACGCATGCGCAGGTGACGACCCTCCGTCTTTAAACACAGATTTCCATTTTCTTAGTGTAATAGTATCATGTGCTATCCTAGCATAAGTAAACACTGCTCCACTGACAGAAATAGAGGATACTATAATTAAACATAGCGCAGTTAACTATGTACAAATGTACATAAACCAACCGAGTACAAATAATCTATGACTACTCACAAATAAATCGAAACACCATTAATTTCTCAGTTATTTTATTAAACTGAGTCCACAAAAACTCGTAAAAGGGGTGTATTTAGTTATTTGACGCGTTTACGCGTGTGCCGTGTTTTGGGTCATATTGGAAGCCGGATGTAACTTAGAATATATTGTGAATCTCGTAAATTCATGTCACCTCAACTTGGAAACAGTATGATTTTAGTACGTATATAGGGTATATATTTTAAGTTTCTGCACTTGAAAAGGGATATAATTTCACAAAATAAGTACGTGTTTAGAGGCTATACTTCAGCATGAGTACCAGGTATGACTTGGAGGGGGGGGGGGGGTCAAGCGCACATTGTATGCACCATTGAGGGCGCTAAATGCAGTCAAAATAATCAGAAAATTATGGCTGATAATGCAGATCTTGTATAGTCGTACACCGGCACGTTAACCATAGCACAACAAGTTGCCATGTCAACGTTGGCATTGATTACTTACCAGTTGCAATTAGTGTATTCAAACTTATGCAACTACGTTTATAATTTGGCATTACAACACCGATATGAATCCCTCGAAATAAACTAAATTACACGTTGACATGCAACGTAAATAGTATCAATGTTATGATTCATTGTTACAGTAAACAACATTCGAATACTAACAACATGACACTACAAATGTCTTTTAATTTGACCCCGCTAATACATAATACAAAAACAATTACAGCAATTGAAAGAAACCACAGTCGTTTACATAAACATACAAAACAATTTAATAGAGCATTTCTATGATAACATTTTTGTTTCAATTTCAATTGTGGACTCTCGAATAATTTTTCACAAAACAACTTAAAACATGATCAATTATATCTCTGGATGTTGGTTTCCATGACCACAGCACAGCTGATGTGCCAAAACATCAAAACTAAATAATGTAAAGTAGGCTTCAAATCAAAATTGTAGGACTTGGTTATTTCATTTTTCTACCTCCATGGTTAATTGTACGTGTCAGAGATTGTCCTAGATAGTAATTAAATAGTGTCATCTAATGTTACATTGATACCACGGCACATTTCTACGCATTATAGAAGCATAGTACACTGAATTCGCATCTATCATGATTGAATACATAGATAATACAATAAGAATA